TCTTGGTTAAATTTAAAATATCGATGGGGGTTGACAATAGAATATTGGTTGATTAAGGTGGTTGAAGATAGAGTAAGAGGGTTGATCGTAAAATAATAGTCTATGGGATATGTTGGTCACATGACTCCTTAAAATAAGGAGGTTGATTCTAAATCATAGGTCTACAATATGTAATGTGGGTGGTTGATTCTAAAGCAGTAGTCTATTATAGAAGGTCCTATGACTCCTTCTTAAAATTAGGGGGTTGATTCAGATCATAGGTCTACAATAGACAATGTGGGTGGTTGACCATAAAACAATAGTCTATGAGACAACGTGGTCACATGACTCCTTCTTAAAATAAGTGAGGGTTGACTCTAGATTATAGGTCTACAATAGACAATGCTGGTGGTTGACCATAAAATAATAGTATATGATGTACAATGCAGCAGTTGATAGTAGAAATAACAAGTGATTACAAACAACAAGTCTAGAATATTAAAAGAGTTAATTATCTTTATTACAATGTTGGTAGCTTAATGATCAAGAATGTTGTAACAATACTTTACAAGTCGTTTTCTTGTGGCCAAGTTCTTTGCAAATGGAATATTTTTTTTTGCCTTTTTTTCCTGCTGCTAGAAGAACTAGGTTCTAAATACTTGGTCATCTCTTAATCTTTCTTCTACCCTTTGTAGGCTCGACATCGGGTAGAAGTATTTTTGTGGACTGAATCTCGTCAGACACCACCCATTTCTCTTTGTAGTGATTGTGTGAATGGTTCCTTCATATGCAACCAAATATGTTAAAACCACATAGAACGGAGATGAGTGATCGTAAATGGAGAAACCATATCTATCCCCAAAGCTCAATCTCAGAGTTGCCATTGCATGTGGGCAGGGGATTTTTTCCAAATCAAACTGACAATAAGAACATGTGTTCAAATCTTGATCAACCACTGCATACCTGCCGTGACCGACGACGCTAAACTCATTATTCTCTAATTGATGCACCCGGAGCGCGTCGCCGACAACCATATCATTCCTAATCTTCTTTTCAGCAGAAGGAACAAAGAGGGTCAAAATATTTTCCATTTCAGTACGCCTCTTTTCGAATTTTTCTGCAAACTTTCGAACAATATGATTGAATAGGCTAATGATCGAGAAGTCTCTTTGATCCTTAAGCATCGCATTAAGCGATTCTGCAATGTTTGTTGTCAACACGCCATATCGGTTTCCTGGAAAGAAGGCCCTACTCCACTTTTTTCATTTACGAGGTAGTTAGCTACTTCCCTACTTTTATCACGCAATTGCTGAAAATGGTAAAAAATTCCTCAGTATTGTATGACTGTGCGAAAGAAAATAAATGCTTAATAAAAATTCCATAATAAAATCTCTTGCGCATAATTTCAGCAATGTGACGCGTGCAAAAGCCATGATGAGCGGCAATGAAAGCTTTTTTGAAGCCATTCCCAATAGACAGATGCCAATCAAAGATAATGCACAATTCATCATTGTCGTCAAGAACGTGCCGCAACTGTTCAAAAAATTAGGTCCAAGAATTATCGCACTCTTTATTGACTACACAAAATGCAATTGGAAAAAATGTGATTCTTGGCATCTTGCGCCACAACAGACAACAAGCAATCTCCATACCTGCCACTCAGAAATGTCCTATCAATATCAATAAACTTTCTCATATGTGCGAATCCCTTAATGAAAGCTCCAATAGATAAGAAAAAAAAAATCTAAAATGCATTTTATCATCAACATTTAAATCAACAATACTTCCTTCATTATAGGACAACATAACATGGCGATACGCTTCCAACAAAGCATACCCCTCTTCCTGAGCACCCCTGATCATAGCTTTAGCTATTTTACATACCTTCCAGCTCCTCCAATAAGTAAGATTTTGATTAAAATCTGCAAAAAATAGCATCATTCAGATCTGACGGGGATAGGCATTTGCCATTAACATACCGTTCCTGGAAATATGCACCCAAAGTCTTTGACGAAGCATTAGGATGATGAATTGATATGTGTTGTACCCCGTATGTATGCTCGCCATGGTATTTAGTAATATAAAACCTATCATAACTCTCGTACTTTAAAGTACGTAACTTCCACGGAAAACTCACATCTCGGCATGCCACCGAAGTTAATTTATTGCTACTCTTCTTCATACAAAATATAAAATGCATTTTCACAAAAGTAACCTCCATCTGTGTGTGTTGTGTAGCTAACGAGTCCACCAAGCCTTCATCTCCAGCTGCCCAACTGACAATATATGTGAGCTCTTCCGCTCCATCTGCATCTTCCGGACCGTATGAGTTCATTTCATTATCACCAAAATTATGCAAGTCATGACTAAATCTACTGAAGCCATCTTTCCCTATTCTTTCCTCCTCTACTTCTAAAATTAGTGCCTGTGTTGGTGTTGGTTGTGTTGGTGGTGGTGGTGCAGCTGTGGCATTTGAACCTTGATGAGACCTTTCAACAGGAACTTCAGCCCCTTCTTCAAACTCATTTTCAGCCACAAATATCTTCAAACAAGGCCTCATACCATCAATTGTAACATCAAGGAGGTACGATTGTAAATCATTATCATTCTTAATGAAGGAAGGAGGAATCTTGTCCCTCTTCGGCGCAGAGCTAAGCATATATGTAATATTCAAATTCCTCCGGGAATATGTTAGTCTTCCACGTTTAATGATGACATCACCAAATTCGTCAAATGTACAATTGCTAGGTATATGGATAGGTACTGTAACCTTTGTATAGGAATTTCAATTCTAACTAGTGGCCCCTCAACCCATTCACCAAAATATAGACCGCATACTAATATATAATCTCCCATCAGTCTATTGTGAACTAGTGGTCTAGCACTGTGCAGAATATTTTTTGTAGAAATCCAAATTAACAATGCCGAATAAGATGAGATGAAAACACTTATCAGATGAATGAGTTACGCAATATACCACCTAGAATGAATTATCAATCCAATGTACCCCCAATTTTTTTCCCAATTTCGACAGATCCGAAAACCCCCAATTTTTTCATTTCTTCTCCGTAAATGATAAATCAAAAGAATGAAGCTTTGAGATGAATGAGGAAGAAGGGAGATGGCCTATGTGTGTTGAATGCAAGAAAAACAAGCTGCAAAGGAGGAATCAGTCGTGAGAAATGGGGATTGGACGGTAGATGAGGTGGGAAGAATAAAAAAAAAATTTATTAAAAAAAATCTAGTAATATTAGAATTATATAGGTTGGGGCCAAAATATAATAAGTGAAACTTTAGGGATAAAGACTGAACTTTTTTCCTTTACTTTATAATCCACTTAATCGCTAATTAAGCATGAATGTCAATCCTACGGTGATTATAACTAGAAGGTCACTTGGCCAATTCAAGTTTGAATAGAGGTCACTTCGCCAACTACTTGCATTCTATATTGAAATTCTTAGAAGTCAATTGGTGATATATAATTTTTGATTATTAAAATTTAGTTAAGCTTGAAAGCATATATGACTTGTAATTTTGTTAGATTTCTTCCTTGAAATTTTTTAGTTGTCTTGTCTAATTTTTTTTATCTCTTCTTTCTTTACATTGGATCTCTACAATTCTTTGATATTTTCTTCGAGTTGAAACTAATGAAAAAGAGCAAATCTTATACACTATAGAGAATTTTATAACATACGGATATTTCAATAGATGGTGCATATTTTATTTGTTCAATTCGTGCTAAATATATATTGACTTGTGATTTTTTTTTATCTATATAACTCAAATAAATTAAATGGATAAAATTTAAAAACGGACAAAACTGAAATAGAAAAACAGAAAATAGTTTGGTATGATTTTCTACTTGCAAAAAACCGAACCAAAATTGAATCATAAACACCCGGACAAAAGGCTGGAAAACGATATTTCTCAATGTTGTAGGTCGGACTACCTTAGCTAAATCAATTGTAGCATCAATTTAAAATCATGTGATGCTATGCAAGTTGCAACTTACTCCCGAGCACTGTAACTGAAGGAAATAAATAAAATCCAAAGGGACTTCTATCGTATGACGAGGAGACACAAAATTAGGAAAAAACTAGATCTAATCATAAAATTGCAAAATATGTAAGCTGGCAGCTCTAAGAGCAGGTACGCACAAACTAAACACTGATAGATCGGCAAAAGGAAATTAAACCCGGCATTTTATTTCTAAAACCGAAAGTGCATTCCGTTAGTGCAATTTACAAGTCACATTCTGCTAATGCGGTTTATATAACTAGCACTGCTCGCATTCGCGACACCGCAATTTATGAGTCGACAAATGGTTTATTCTATTTAAAATGTTAAGTCCAGGTAAAGGATTAATCTTTAATATTGTTCTAACTTGGGACCTTTAATTAATGATGGATGAATCTTTATCATTCCTCCACATCTCTTGGAATGATTTGTTCTAATTTATTTTAAGGTTTGGGGAACAATGCCATTTTTGAAAAGGCCGAGAATAATTTGTGTTAAGAGATTACAATTCGAACCGATATATATTCATGGTTATATATGATGTTACTAGCGTAGATGTTGGAATGTTGATATTCTCCTCCTACATTTAGATGAATATTTGCACAATTGCTAAGTTAGAGGTATCTCGAAACTTAGAACTAATATTTGGAGTTATGCACTTCTCATGTCAACCACCTGTTTTGATTCTCTGTAACATGGTCATCTATCATACCATTTTCCTAAAACATCAGATTCTAGATTTTTTCAATCATGTCTAATCTCACTTCATTCTCACTGATCTTCTTAGCTTAGGCTGCAAATAGCATACACACTTCTTCTTTACCATAGCTGAATGTTCAAGAAAAGATCAGTATTCCTGATCAACCATAGTCATTTAATTTTGTACTTGTGTTGGTATTTCCGTAGTATTTAGACTTTCTTTCCAGAGATTTAGTATATGTTTACTCTTTCTTGCTTTCAATTCTTGAAAAGGGGAGATGCTATTTAATTAACAAGCAACATAATAGTACTAAGAACAAGCTTTTATTCTATTAATCGTGAAGGGCAACCAAACATGTAGAGCTTTCAGATAATTACTACAGTATACTATTAAAAGCAATCTCAGCCCCCTTCTTATTCTAAACAGCGCAGCTCTGAAAAATAAGATACTACAGTAGCTACTTAATTTTCTGGAAGCAGATTAATTAGTCATTGCAGTTGACAAATTCATAGTTGACAATAAGGTGGCCTTGCTGATAGCCCAATCCATTAGTGTCCAATTGGTTAAAGACATTCACATCCAAATCAAGCCCTCCATTGCTGCATTGATCTACTATTCTCACTGTTGCTTGAGTTCCTGTTCCGGTGTTCGTCACCTGCATGCACATAATTAATTATAATTTGCCGTTTAGCTTCACCATTAATACATATATACAGATATTAAGTATTTTTAGTTTCTTTGCTACTTATAATAGTATTTTCTATTTCACATACTTTACTTATAATAAACATTTTCTTTGAACGTTTTAACCAAAAGCGTGTCATTAAATTTAAAGCAGGAAATATATATGGATTTATCTTATATATACTCAAAGTATGAAGAATTTTTACACTAACAGTGAACTTGTAGTAAGTTCCTTATCCTTTTTTAAATTACTAATTCCACTTTAGGCAGCTATGTAGTTACATTAGGCGATTTGATAGAGTAAAATTCTTCTATACCGACAAGTATATTAAAGCTAAACTCTAAAATAGTATTATAGAGTTTAAATTCTGCACATTAATTAGTATATATATATNTCACGTTAAATCTAGGGACGACCCTTCCCTAAAGCAGGTAAAGCCTAGGCTCCATATTTGTGGGGGCCCCATTTTTTGTTACACCTAATAAGTTATATATAAGTAAAAAAAAAAATCTTAAAAGTAAAAAGTACAATTACGTGGAAAGTTGCATAAAAGGAAAAAATAAATTTGATACAGTGATTGATGATGGGGGTTCGCTTTTGACATAGCCGATATTGATGATTTAAATTTATTTTTTTGAATTGAAAGTGTCAAGGAAAATAGTACAAGTAAAAGATAATACATTAATCATATACTGTATCTAATAAAAAGACTTGATTCTTTTTTCAGATTTATATATTACTTATAGAATAATGTTAACAATGATACCATTGCTTCAGTAGAAAAGTTTTTAAACTTAAAATTAATAAAAACTTATCTAAGATAAACAATCTCTCTGGAGAGATTAAATAAATTAGCTATATTGTCAAATGAGAAAGATTTATTAGATGAAATTAATTATAAGAAAATTATTAATAACTTATGCATCTCAAACAGCTAGAAAATTAAATTTCAAATAAATAAAAAAAAAAAAATTTAGGCCATAAAATTGGGGTTAATATATTAGTAGAAAATTAAAGATGTGGTACCCTCAAGCATCTACCACAGGAATCTTGGCCTCGAGGTCCAGCAGGACCGCAGAAAGCAGTCCAGCCATATTTTTGGCGCCATGCGAGAGGCTTATCGGCATCCCAAGTAGCGCAGAAAGCACTTGCTGCTCTCAAATCCCAGTTAATGTTCTGTGGGTTATATAAATGATACGTTGATCTCACGTTTGTGGCGCTCTGTGCCGCCNTGATCTCACGTTTGTAGCGCTCTGTGCCGCCGCCATTGCCATCATCACGCTCATGATCAGCAATGCCACGCACAACTTATAATTATTAACTCTCTCCATTTTCTTTAGTATTGGTTTAGGTTTTTTGGTGAAATTATAAGGCCAAATTTATAGGGAAGGAAATGAAGCTAATGGACAGTACGTACTAAGAGTGGAAAAGTCATGTAGTCGTGAAAGACTGGAACTCCTGTTGGAATAATTACTGGGAAGACTTTTCAACCTTTTCGTCTTTGAATACTAAACTTAAAGTTTTTTTTTTTTGTTGGGAGGGAAAAGATATCAAAAGAAACGGTCCAAGGATGGGTCGAATTAAGGTCTGTTGAGTCGGCAAGAAATCGTAATTAAAGATGAAGCTAAGTTGAGCCAGGAGCAAACCATCTAATTAACGTAACGGACCTTTCTTGATCGACAAAACAAGAACTAGCTAGCAACCATAATCCACTACTGAAGCTTCGTTAACAATTAAAGACAAATACTAGGTTATATTAATTAGTTATTAAAAAGTATATTCATACACGTAATTATAAAATATATATACGAAAATATTTTTAATTTTCCCATTTCGGAATATGCTTAATAAATTCGATTTCTCTACAATATAATCTAGTCCTACCATTAGTTTGATTTGTCAAATAATGTTGTCTAGAACTTGGAAAAACTGTTCCTTTAATTTGGTCATTTCTGCTGAAGAAAAGTCTAAGAACAAGAGGCTGTTTCGTCTGGGGAAAAATTGTTCAAACATGCATTATGAAGTCATGTGCATTTTCTTGGCTCGCTTATTAGAGAATCTCTATCTATCTATCTATCTTATCCCACATATTTGAGCTATATTTTTCAACTGACAAAAGATTACTCTGATTTTCCATGGAAAATTCATCAGTTTTTTACGTTGTGTAGGTCACACCTCCTACTTTCCGAGGATTGTGGAAATAAATGATTTTTTTTAATTTAGGTAACATTATTGAAGAGGAGTTGATTTATTTATTTTTATAGAGTCGTCACTTGGAGTAATTTATTTATGGTGTTCCAAGTCACCGGTTTATTTTAAATCTCAATTCAAAAAAAAAGTTTGACTCTGTTTAAGTCTGCGAAACACAGAAGAGCGGGTAAGGAATTTTGTTAACCCAGGAGAAGGTGTTAGGCACTCCCGAATTCCGTGGTTCTAGCGTAGTCACTTAACAATCACGCTTGACTTAATTATCTGATTATTACATGTTTTAACACCTACGTACATTTTATCTTTTACCGCTTTTAAATTACTTCGTTTATTATAGTTATATGAAATTATCTTGAAGACGAACCATGTGTGTGTGAATCCACTTTGTTTGGTGTGTCAGAGTCATGTCACGCGTTCGTATACACAACTAATAGCATTCTATCATTATTAAGGTTGTTTTGTCCAAAATTGCACGAACGCATACCTTGGTTTTAAATTTGAAAATTATAATTATGTCACGCATACGTATATTTAATCACGATAATAGATGATTAATTAAAAGCGCGCCTAAAGTATTCTACGAATGTTCATGAGTTTGTTTCTTGGCTACATTTGAGATTGTTCTGAGCAGGGGCGGATCTACGTAGAAGGTTAGGGGTGGTACGCCACCCGGACGCTCGAGTAAAAGTTTGAGCGTGTATATATATATATTTTGGTATTTTACAAATAGATCGTTATATATTATATGGATGGCACCCGGGCTTGTATGTTGGCTCTAGGTGCCATGGTTGAAAGCCAACATTCCAAATTCCACATTCAGGAACGAATCCTTGTTATTCCTTTTTCTTTCTTTACTTTCTGCTCCTTTTCTTAGTTTATTGTATTTCTTTCATCTTTTGATTTCCCTTTCTTAGTACAACCACTTTGTTATTTATTCAATAATATATTTACTTCTCTTTCTTTGCATAGATCTTCAATATTTTCTCTTTTTATCCATATAATTTTATTGTTTCCAAGATTTCAAAAGTCTTTTATAATGATGGCATCAATTGACATATAAGGAGTGCATTTGATAATTTAAAATTTTATTTGAATTTTGTGCATCTAATCACATCATTCCATAGAACCAGAGAATTAGATCGAATTGGACAAAATTTATTCGGTTTGATGGTCATACATTTATTTATGTACCAAAAATCTTATAAATCGTACCGAATTAATTCAAAATAGATTAAACCAAACCGAAGTGAACCGAATTAGTTCAAAATGGATCAAACCAACAAAATGTACACCCTAATTCAATCTCTTTCCCTAATGGTAGGTTTGCATTAAAAAGTGGCACTCGTAGCCATCAAATCCTGGATCTGCCTCTGGTTGTGAGGCCATGATTTATGGATATTAATTTGTGAAAAAGGATATAAATTAATTAGAAGAATTAACCCAAATAGCCGTCCACCCTACCACTTAAAACTAAAAATAGCCGGTGAATATTTATGTATTACATATGCATAATTGTGTATAATCAATATATAATCTATGTATATGGCTAAAAAAAATAAATAATTAATATGACCGACTATTTGTGTAAAGATCCCAATTAATTATGGAAAGATGGACAAGCTTGTAGCCTTATTGACAATTGGACCAGCACTATCAACCTTAAAGGCCCAAGTTTAACATCTGCCTATCTCCCAAATGGCCTGCTAATGGCTAATATTTTCATTCCAACTCAATTTACTAAGAACCCGTTTGGTCATAATAAATTTTTCTCTTTTTCTCAAAATTTTTTTATTTTTTTTCGAAATCAGTGTTTTTTCATAAAATTTTTAATTTTCACTTGAAGATGCATTTTGAAAATTTTCGAAAATTTGAAAAACTCCAAAAAGCTATTTTTCAAAATTTTCACTCAAATCACTCACAAAACTTCAAAAACAACCCAAAATAATATTCATGTCCAAACACAACTCTATATTTCAAATATCATTGAAATTTATTTTTTCCTATTTTGTAATTTTACAATTCTTATGTCCAAACGCCCACTAAATAGGCAAACAGACCAACATCTAACATAAAAGCCAATAAACAATTAATATCCAACAGTCTTAAATTAAATTCCATAAACATCACGAAAATCAATCTAAACATGCATTTGAAAGATTAAACAAACAGAGGCTATAAGCTGCGTTTTGGGGTGGATTTGAGGTGGTTTTATGGAGGTTTTGGGGCTGTTTTTGCAGAAGCTTCAAGCTGCATTTTTTGGAGGAGGACAAGGTGGTTTAGGGGTGAAGTTTGGAGTGTTTAATGGAGCTTTTGTAGTGCTAATATCTTAAAGTGTGAGGTTTTTAATTTTCTTAACAACCTGTTTGGATGGTTGTTACCCATTGTATTGTATCGTATTGTTACTTTAAATATGATGTTAGTTTTGATTGTTATTTAAATTTTATTGTATCGTATCGTTAAATTCGTCGTTACATAACGGCGAAATGTGCCACTTTATGTAACGACCGATTTGGTGTGGTTGCGTCGTTACCTTATCTTTTTCTCTAAATCTCACCCTTCATTATTATTAAATAATTTTATTTTATCATTTACCCTACCTTTTTATATAATAATTTTACCTTGTATCATAATTATTCTTTATAATATTGTAAGTTTATTCTTCATATTGCTGGTGCGTGATATCATGAAACAATGACAAACGACACAATCTATCCAAACATTGTATTTATCAAACGATACAGTACAATACAATACAGTACGATACGATATATTATGAAACGATACCTAACAACCAAATAAACAAGCTGTAAGTAAATCTACTAAAAAGTGAGATAAAGGTTAAAATATGTTGAATATAATTAAAAGATATTTAAATATTCAAAAGTGGTAAAAATTTAAATATGATAAAAAATTAGGTATTCACGGTGTATGGCTTAAATTTTCTTTACATGATAAACATTATTCTCGTTAAATCGGTTTCATTTATTGTCATGATCAGTACATTTTTTTTTTGTTTTACCAAATGATATACCCTCCATTTGAACTTGAATGTCTATGTTTTGTTCCCTGTTTCTAATGTTCATGAATGGATTTGTTTCAAACATATCATATTAGCCTTTCCTTTTGGGATAATACATAATTACCCATTGAGTTGTCTCCGTCTATCAATTGCACCCTCAAACATTATATGGATCCTATGACCCCCTTGTCTTTTTTTAAAGTGTAATAAATACCACATTGTTTAGCCAATCCCAGTTTTTTTAATAAAGTGCAGATCACGCACCAATATTTACTTGCCATGTGTCAAAATTCATTTAATTATTTTTTATCTGTTATCTTATTTTATTTATTCATTTCTTTCTTCTTTTTTTTTTCATTTCCTTTTCTGCTTCTATTTCTCTTTCCTCTAACCTCCACCTTCTGGTCCTTGTCAACCAATCTCACCGGAAAGCTCTTGTACGCCGGAAATAGAGACCAGCAAACATGGAGATGAAAAACACTCCTTTCGCTCAACTAAAGCTCTCCAACAAGCGAAGAAGCCACCAAAACCCAGCACCAAAATTGTCAAACTCTCTCAAATTTCTCAAACTATATTCAAGCTGACAAAAATGGTGTTTATGGCAAGTTGAAATTTGAACTTAGTTTTTGTTTTCCGGCAAAAAAATGTCTCTTTTTTTCTTCGTTTTCGTTCTTTTCCCGGTCTTCTTTCTTCTTATTTGATCTCCCCGTAGGCTATGGGAGCTTCTTTGATTTAAAATCTGAATATAGTTTCTTATTTTTGTTTATTTGTTCTAGATTTTAATTTATGAGATTGAAGCAACTTTGTTATTAAGAGAAGGGGAGCTAAGAGGGAGGGGTTGGGGGAGGGAGGTATGAAGAAGGAGAAGACAGTGGGTTCAAGAAAAAAAATAAAGGAAAAGGGATAAATAAGAAAAAAATTGAAAAAAGGGATATAGATAATAAATTTAAACAACAAAAAACTGTAAAGTAAAAATTTTCCGTTTTCACGCTCTTCAGGAGAGTGATAATCACTCTCAATGCCACATAGGCTTAAAAGGTGGTATTTATTATACTTTGAATAAAGACAAGAGGGTTATAGGATTCCCGCAGTATTTAACAGTGCAACGATAAAGTAGAATAATCTCAAAGAGGTAATTATGTATTATCCTGCACAATTGTTTTCTTTACCTTTTTTTCTAATGAAATCAATGAATCTCCGAATTACATGTTATTTGAATTGTGTGGAGAATATATTAGAAATGATAATAGTCAAACTAAAATATTCATCTAATCTAATTAAAGTGGATGAAATATATATATACAAGGTATCGTTTATATTATTATAAAAATGGGGATAAACTAAGATAAGATACTTAAGTTCAGTCACATTACAAGTTATTCAGTCATTTGGGGATAAAGAAGTTTAATACATTATGTGTTGCTTAACTTAGCTAATTGAGTTGTTGGGAATGATAAATTTTGCGTTATTCGTGTTAGCACGTTTGTGTATACATTAATTTGGCGGAGTTTGGGACTGATTCAGACGTGGTTGGGGTTGAAATAGGAGTAGTTAGATGGGAAAGGAAAATCCCAGCGATTGAATAAAGAAGAGTGTTTTGATGAAGCTTTAGAATACTAATGATTAATAATAATGTCTGGTGGAATCATATAGCATTAAGTTAAACTCTAGATAATTGTAAGAAAAATGACTTCCGCAATAAATTAACCACGGTATAAAATTATAATTAGAAGCAGTAAATAACAAAATAGAAGTATTTGAATATGCAATGGTACGCATTACAAGTGGAATCCGCAGGTCAAATTGAAATGGAATTTCTTCACAACAAAAAGGCAAAGTTGCAAGTTATCTGGTAAAACTCAGTTAAGCAGCACAAGGATATCATAGTACAACATTCATGTACAATTCTGTGTCAGCTTAAATACGGGTAGAGTTCTTATTTATGGACAGCATTCACTTCACTGAATAGTCCTCAAGAAAGTTTGGAAGAGTAAATATACTCATCCATCAAAATTAGAAGGACCAAGATGTTGAATAGACCACCAAAACATTATCTCCACCAGCCAAACAGTCGATACAAATATATTCTCCTCAGTCTTCTATTGTATGCCATGAAGGCCCTGGCTTTGACGGGGTCCTCATTCAAAGACTCGAAAGCATACATTTGCTTCGCTTCTTCCAGACCCTCGATTTCCATCACAGCTTGCAAAAGAGCAGGGGTGTCAATGGTGTACTTGCTTTGCTCAATTGTGTCAGCCAAGTGCCGGATGCTTGAGGCTATCGCTAACATTGCATCTTGAAGAGTCTCTGAGCTACGAGTCCGTTCTGCAGCTTGCCTCTCAGGTTGAGCCTCGGGCTCATCTTCATCTTCATCTTCATTATTAGCAGCCATTTCAGTATATACTGGTTCTTTGGCAGATGACTGTGTCTTGGTTCCATCCGAATCGTTCATATGCTCTGAACTTGCTGAAAGATATGAACCAGATTCTTGTTCGTACTTGCACTCTATCACTGGATTTCCATTCACTTTGGCTGACATTCTACTCCAGCGACTAGGAGCTTGATAATTTCCACATACAATTTTCATTTCTTCATACATGGCTATCTGCTTTCCTCGGAAAGCCCTAGCATCAGGGTGTGCCTAATAACATATTAGATATTGTACAATGGCATCAGGCTAGCAGAAGAATACAAAGTATCTTATGGAACTAAGAGAGATGATAATGAGAAGGCACACCCTGAATAATAATAATAATAATTTAATCAAACTTTGGAACAAAAAAATAATAATAATAATTTAATCAAACTTTGGAACAAAAAGCGAGCATGACAAGCTAAAACTTACAGCAACATATTTCTTCCAAAGATCATCATCCTCACAGTCGATTGTATCTGTATTTGGATTCCAAGAGAATTCCTCTTGACTGAGGATATTACTGATTATATTATACCTCTTTTTGATTGTCTTAAGACGATTAATAACCTTTTGGTTATTTAACGACAAGCGGAAATGAGTATTAACAGCAACACAGGCAGCATTATATGCATTTTCATTGAAGCATTTGTCAACTTTATTTCCATTTCTTGCTTGGATAGCAAGTGCTTCAATCAGACACTTGTCCATTGCAGGAGACCATACAACATTTTTTCCCCTGTGCTTCATCTTCTTTCTCCCACTATCTACGTCGTCATTTCCTATAATAAACAGAAAAATAATGTTAAGAACGCAGAATGCTAGGAGATGTGCGGATGTATTTACATGTCATGTTTCGTGGTTTGATGCAGGCATTTCAATCATCCTAAAAACATGAGCAAGATGACAACACAAATGTAACAGTCCTTGAGAACGGACCCAAACGTTGATATCAAAAAGAATAAAAGCAAGAGGGCCCGTGTTTATTCCAAGAAAGGAATCTCTGGTGGTTGATGAACCCACGTTGCTGAAATTCATAGAGGCAGAGCCTCTGGGAATAAAATTACCAAAAATGAATCTGTCAGGAAAAGGAGTCAAAAACTGCCACTACACTTTGCAGTAAACAAGACTGAACCGCGAAAATTGAGACAGAAGTTCAATTTAGCTTGACCTCAAGCACTCTCCACTCTCCAGCTCCCCCGGGAAAGAGAAAACAAAAATCATTACCCAGCAATAGTTAGAAAAATTCACACATATACCTGCACTAGTGATAAATATAATATAACATCAAAGACAACTCACAGCATAGGTGGCCGGCTTATGAGATGGGTCATACATAACGTTTTGCCAAAGAGTACTGGAATTGTGATTATGAACTCTGCAGGAATTTTATTTTCTGCTATCATTTCGGATTTGCTACTCCCACTTATACACACACACACACACACCTATATATA